GATTCGGGGTGGGGTTAGGATTAGGCAATCAGGTAGTGACTTCAACGAGGGGGTGCATAATCTGGCAGGGGTGCAGAATTCGGCACAACACCGGCACGAGAAGCGGCACTATTTCGGTTAAAAAGGATAACAGAGAACCATTTAATACACTTGAATTAAAATATTACTTTGTTATATTTTTATTTCTAAAATGCTTGTTAAACGAGTTTAAATGTAGCCTATGCAATGTTGAAAACTATGCTACATAATTCAATTTGTCTTATATTTTTGTCTATGCGTGTTACTAATAAATGTTCACATTTTGATACTGTTGCTTCTAGTAATTCTGTCTGCTTTTTAATGTCCAACCTATTTGTGGTTCATTTTAAGCCAGCAATTGTCACGAAATAGCCTACTCACGAAATAATAATCATGTTACAAGAAGATCCAATTGCAGCTTTATTGTAGTCCCAAACAGTGATGCAAAAAACAGAGCCACTGGCAGAAATCACTGGCAAAAAATAATCCACAAAACAGAGAGTCCACAAACACAAAAGTAACAGAACTCAATGAAGCAAACAAGTGTGGCGAAGCAGTAAAGGATTAAAGATTTAGCACGACTACACTACCCTGGGTCTTGCCCAGGGACCGTTCTTAATAAATTTATTTTTAGGCAACACAGGTCAGCTCACGATAAATTTGCAGGGGACATAGATATACGAAGCAATTTATTACAATTAAAAAGGGTTTATTACATAAAGGGAGGTAGAAGAGCAATCACTAAACACAACAGTTAACACATAACAAACTCAATTACACACTTCACAAAATACAACCGTGGGCAACCTGGGTCATCAAGGTACAGGAACCGAGGCTTGACCGCAGGGCATAAGGGCACAGTCGGCCTATACAGCAAAACACCCCTTCACTTATACCTGTGACACACACTCATGCACACACACACACACACACACACACACACACACACTCCAACCAGCACTCGTGAAAGAAACACCAGCACCAGGAATCCGCCCCTGCCTTAGGGACTCAGCTCCTGTAACAACAGAAATCAGGTTATACACTTGAAAAGACAGTCAATATCACAAATGGATTACAATAAAGAGAGTTACCCACCCCCTAATGAACAGATACAAATACTTAAATCCACCAAAATAACTAACTAATACAAAACAAGGCAATAATAAATTATTGCTACTACAACACAAAACAAAACTCAGCAAATGAGCACAAACATCAGACTCACAGCCACTCAATATAGTAATACAACAGGGAAGAATAACACTTACACAATAACTATAATAAAAAAAAACAATACAACAAAAAAAGTAATTGAGCGCACTTAAAACAAACTCAGGTTGAGTACACTCAACGATCAACACGTTTCACAATAAAGGCATCCAATCAGTACATGAAACTAGGTCTGAACGATTTTGGAAAATAATCTAATTGCGATTTTTTTTACCAATATTGCGATTGCGAAAAATCGAAACTTTTCATATCGCGATATTATCGCAAATGCGATTAATCGTTCAGCCCTACATGAAACAAAACAAAAGAAAGGAAAGAGAAAATGATGGTAAACCAACTAACAAACACACACACACACACCACGAAAGGGAATTACAAAAATTAACCAAAACAAAGCAACAGCGTCTCCAAATGATAGTTCCCACGTAGCCCCAACAACAGGGAAGCTAATCGCAAGTAGTGACGCCACTGGTCTGTCTGCAATGAAATTACAATTTAGACAGATCAGCCATTCTGGAGGACAACTAAATGTAACGCAGGAAGCAAGGGGGCGTGACTCATGACGCCATAGTACCTCACCCACGAATTTATATATTCGCTCACTGCCCGATGATAGGACAATCAATGAACAACTAGCCAACCAAATGCAAGCAGGAAGAGCTTCACTAGTCCTGCCACACAAGGGCACAGTCTGTTCAATAATAAAGTTCAACATAAACATATACTATTTAAATACCAATAAAGTGGAGTAAATATGCTTTTATCAGTGTTTTTTGATAAACGTGTCTCAACATTGCGACTACAGTAAAAAAATAGAAAAAGCTTTTAATGTTGTTATTACTGGAATTGAAGATGTTCGAATAAACCATAGACTGTATAAAAACAAAACCGAAACAAACGTGATTGTCATGCGGTGAATCTGGCCAATCGTGGAACAGCTGTGTCGTCATCAGAGCACCTGCAGCCAAGTACACCCGGCTGCAGCCGAGAGGGTGCTCGCTGCAGAGCCAAATGGGAGGAGCTGGAGCTCTAGCTCCCCCTCGCTGGATGTAATGGGTGGAGCTAGACACCCAACCACTCCCTAACCCTACCCCTTACCCTATCGCTAAACATAACTCCACCCATTAGTTCACACAGAGGTGGAGCTGGACATCCAGAGAGGGGGAGCTGGAGGTCATTTGGCTCTGCAGTGAGCAGTACTTGCTGCAGCCTGCAGATCGAGGCGGGGCTGCACCTGGGGCGGGGCTGCACGTGTCGCCCCGCCCACAACGCTTCTCATTGGTTAGTGGCAAAGTAATGACGTCGACGCGGTAAACAGGAAATGCGGCTGAAACAATACATGGTAGTAATACATAATTATATAAAACAAAACTGTGAACCCGTTAATTACTTGTACCTGGTAAAAATATATAGTATTAAACAATACATTGCAAATTTGTTAATTTTTGGAAAACGTTTCATTATGTACATTTCCAAGCAAGAATCCAATTACTGCTTTTGACTTGTCACTTTGCAGTTGCACTCAAGGAATATAGTTTATTTACAACTTAAGTTTTAAGTTATTTCTATTCATCTGTATTTGTCATTTAGAACTTATAAGTTATTTATGGTCGTTTTTTATTTTAATTTCAGTATATGCTTTACTGTTACATGTATTAATTATTAACATTTAAATAAAAGTTGAATATTCTCAGCAAGAGTGTCAAGTCTTAAGATGTCATTAAAATTAATGGTAACACTTTACAATAAGGTTTATTAAACATTAATGTATTAACTAGCATGAACTAACCCGGAGCAATACATTTGATACTGTATTTACTAATCTTCGTTAACGTTAATGAAAATACTGT